AGCTGAGAAGAGCAGAAAATTAGTTGAAATGAGCTGAAATGAGCTGATGGAGGCGGAAATTAGCAAAAAGAAGCTGTAAAGAGCAGAAAATTTGCTGAAATGCTGAAATGAGCTGATGGAGGCGGAAATTAGCAGAAAGAAGCTGAGAAGAGCAGAAAATTAGCTGAAAATATTTAAATGAGCTGATGGAAGCTGAGATTAGCAGAAAGAAGATGAACCATAACAAAAGCATAAGTGAGCAGTAAACGGTTGAAAACAGCTTAAAGTGTTCGGAGGGCGTGAAGAGAGCTTCATTCATTATCAATGAGAAAAACATGGCCGACAAAGCTAAATACTTCAAAAAGTAAAAGTTGCACCAACACCAAAAGCCACAGCAGGAATGTCTTGAATGAGCCGAACGTTTTGATTTAAGGATTTTTCAAATAGAACAATTGCAGAATGAGATGCGTGCTGAAAAACCTACAGAATAACAAGAACGATTTAGAAACATCCAGACTTTGAGTCTAAATGCCGACTCAGCGCTCCCCATCATCACCTTCAACAGATCAGCTCTTTGTCGTGTCCTGAATGTTTTTCTGACATATTCAGCTGTCGGGTACTGGAAAGCAGCTACATTATGATTCCCGCGTTCAGCTAACCCTAGCCGTCATTACTGCTTCTAACCCGACTCCTCGCTGCGTTCCGCCGGTGTTTACCCCGGCCGGATCAAAGGGAACACCAAGAACCCTCTGAGACGGTCGCGCGACGCAGAACGGAGGTTTTAACGAGCTGCTGTTTTAAAAACCAAGCAACAGATGAAACGCCGCGTCATTGTCAAACTGCCAACTCAGGAGTGATTCCCCACGATTCTGTCACGAAAACAAACAAAAAAACACAAGAAGGAAGTTTTGTTTCAGAGAACAAGGAAGAACGAGGCTTTGAAGAAGCGACAATGACGCTTGTGTTTGGTTGTTTAAGGTTGAAAATCAGTCTGTGGAAGGCAGCATCTTACCTGCTGTAGATAGCTTTGAAGTTTAAAGAAACACACTTTATTTATGACCAGACTGACGAGCCAACGGCCACAACCAACTTGAGTTGGTTGCTGCGGCTCTAAAACGACAAAACAAACAAACAAACAAACAAAATCAATCAATTCCTGCATGAAGTGCTACAGCTAGCTGCTACTGCATGCACCGTTGTATTAAGACCGCGAGATGTTCTAGCGCTCAGATAGTGTGTTGAGAGTGTTAAGTTGTGGCAGCCATCTTGAATCAGGTTGACCCTGAATGTTCATGAGATGTAGATCTATTGATGAATATCCATCCAGTGGTTCATGAGATATTTTGCTAACAGTCAAGGTTGACGCCAATAGTTTATGGCAAAGTTCAAATTGTGCGTTGGGGATGAAGCTCACACTGAATTTTAGCTCAGTGTCTGTAAAATTAGCTGATTTAAAGCCAGTTTTGTCACCGTCTATTAGCTGTGGCGGCCATCTTGAATCTGGTTGATGTTAAAAGTTAATTGAAGATGTAAATCTGCTGCTTAGTTTCTGAGTGTTTTATTACGTTCAGTTGTCCATGAGATGTTTTGCTAATGCTACAGCCCAGCGACATTAAGCTGCTTGCCTTTTAATTCGGCTGATATAAGCTAAAGAACACAGTTGAAACCTCGACGTGAGTTGCCCACAATATTTTGACATCATGATGATCAGGTTTCGTTGGAGTCCTGCTGCCGTCGTGTTCCAGGCAGCAGAAACCTGAACGGGCTGCAGGCGGCCGGTGGGTCCGGCGGTTCAATACCAGCCTCAGAGCACAACGGGCAGCTCCGGTCCGAACATGTTCTGCTCTGGTGCTGCCCTCTGTTCTGCAGCCGGACCCGCTCCTGACGTGTCACTTCCTCCCTGACACGTGGAAACCATTTTGGCGTGTGTGTGCATGGGTGTGTGCGCACGTGTGTGTCACACTCGACTGCTCGTTGGATTCTAACACTCATCTTCAGCTCTGTGAAAAGCTGCAGGATTCGGTCACGTCGTCTGTTCCAGAACGCAGCGTGTTCCTGCGGCCGTGCGCTCGCTCTTCGGGCCGGTCTTGCTCAGACGCGTCTCAGCTGGGAGTTCTTTAGACAGTTTGAACCAGGGGGGTCCGAACTTTTTCATATGAATGTGAATATTTGTAGTTTGGGAAACGAGTGTTTTTCTGGACTGGAACCAGAACAGCGGAGAGGACCAGTGAAGAGTTTGCGCTGGTCCTTGTAAGTGAATTTAATAAACAAATGCTGCATACAGACAGACTGTTACGAAAACGTATCAATGACACGTGCCCATTGATATGTTACGTATCACTGGGCACTTTTAAGTGGGTATACAGAAATTCCCAAGCTTTTCTAGCTTGGGAATTATTTCGCTAGGGGTGGCCAATGGTGGCCTTGGCCCCCAAAGATTAATCATCGGCCACGCCAGTCATTTGCAGAAACTATACTTTTAAGCAATAAAAAACTAAAAAAACATAGTTTCAGAATGCTTTTTTAAAATATTATTATCCTTGCACAGTGAAGTAGAATGAAATTACTTTCCGTACAGTCGTCCTAAAGATGGACAGAAGTGTACAGGGGTCTACAGCTTCTAAGATCTGCTGCCCGTGTTGCTTAGATAAGAAAAAGGGAAGAAAACAAAGAGAGATATATATAAAAAAAGAGCTCTCACACAAACACTGCTAAGCAACATAAATAAACATAACACATATGGGTGTGGAGTGGGTAGGGGGTGGGGGTCCCAGCACAGCCGCCAGGTGAGTGACGCAGCCCTTGGCGCCTTCGCATCCCCTAGGTTGCTGTGCCAGGGGAGGTGAGGGAGGCCAGTGGAGGCACTGAGTTTGAGGGAAGGTCGTAGCACAGCACAGTCCAGAGCCACCACCTCCAGCCATAGTCCTGATAAGAGGTGTTTGTTTATCATCCAGCTCGGTCACTGGTCCACGACCTTGGAGAAGGGAAGGGGTGGGGAGTGGGACAGAGCGTCTTTGTTTCCATAACTTCCAAGGAGAAAATTTGAGATAGTCCACCTTCCAAGGCCAGGTCCAGATTCAGATATCGCATTGTTTTTATGTCAGGCTGAACACGTACATGTCCGTGTCTGCCTTAACAGTCTCGCTAGTACATTCTGTCATGGCGACTCCAAACAGCCGAATTTAGTTCCTTACGCCAAGTCGAGTTTACAACTTCTCCAAGATTTATTCCTTCCAACCGTTCGTGGCCACTATCGTTTTTTTTATTTTTATACAGCACCACATATAGTTCGCACAGAGTCTGAGAGCCAGGCTCGGCACATTCTCCACAATTTGTCGACAATCTAGATTTCCACCAACTCATAGATCCAGTTATGTTTCCGTCGAGGTAAGAGGTTCTCCTTCACCTTGACTACCTGTTGAGAACAATTGATCAATTTCATAGAGAGACCAGCTGATCGAATCCATTGGTACAACTCAACGGGGTGGCTGGTTTACATAAATATATGGCGGTGGCCATCTTGGAACACACTTCACAATACGTCTAGATGCAGCCACACACCACAATGGAAGTTGGAGCGTTTCCTATTTTTGAAGTTATCCAGCTCACGTCAACATATACGCATATGTGCCAGAAGCCATCTTGGATTTTAACGTGGCAACCCAGTCTTCGAAAGGAGCCTTTCTTACACCTAGATCCAGCTATACACCAAAATGGAAGTCGGTACCTCTCCTATTTTTAAGTTGGCTCACAACAGACTGACGGAGGGTAACCCTGTTCCCCCTCTTCGCTCTGTGATGGGACAGAAATGGGGGTTGTTCACTCTTTTGGATTGGAGTGATTGAAGAAATTGTTGCTAAAACAGATTCATAGCAGGTTTGAAGGGACACAAATAAAGTTGATCAATTTGTATTGATGATGCACTATCCTTTAAAACAGTCCAGTTTTCCTCTACTGCTTATTCAATTAACTACGTTTTTATTTATTTGAAAACTCTTGTTACATTTAGCCAAGTTTCATGAATGATTACCCAAAAATCTTCTTTTTGGTAGAAGCCCGTAAAAGTTTGTGGTGCATTGTATGAAATGGGAAAAAAAAAGGATTAATTATAGCCGAAGATTTGTTTTGTACTTTATATCGCTCATTTTGAGAAGATATTTTTTTCCATGTTAATTAAATTTGCAGAAGGTCTTCATCTGGCTGCGGACAACAATGACACCATTCTTAAATTGCAGTCATGCGTTGCACAATATCACTCCAAGGGCCGCAAATGGCCCCCGGCCACACGTTGGACACCCCTGCTGTAACTGGTTTTGTGAAACTTAGGTACAAATGTAGAAAAAAATAATAATTTAAAGCTCTAATTTTAACTTTTCTGAAACAACAATCATCACATTCAGGCCCAGCCTCCATTAAAGGGGCGGAGTTTTAAACTAAGCTCGTCTTATGATGAGGTCAGCCGTTTTGTTGAAACCTCATAAATGGCGTTAAGCTCAGTTTCATGTGATGCTGCGAGACACGTTAGACCTTGGAGTATTTGTCGGGGATAACTCTCAGCTACTACCACACCAAGTCTCAGCTCAGTATATGTAAAATTGGCTGAGCTGTCGCCATTTTTGCGTTTGCTAATGTCAGTTTGCTGTGGCGGCCATCTTAAATTGGATTGGCTCCAAGTGTTATTCAGTTGTAGGCGTACAACAGATGGATATTTCCCGAAGGTTTCATTAAAGTTCACCAACTGGTTCATGAGATATTTTGCTAACAGACACAAACTTGCACAGACACGAGCATTGAATGTTTACAAAAACAATTAATAAGATGCAAACTTATTACGTAATTAAACTTTTTTGTGGATTTTTGTTGCCAAATTTTAGATTTGATTAAAAAAAATCACAGAAGAAAACCTCTGAGGGGCACGAATGGTTTAAGACGTGAACATGGCTGGAAAAGACATTTTTTGAAACCATGTTTTCTCTCTTCTCCTCCCCCTCCCTCACATCCTCTGGGCCTCCCCCTCGCCATAGCTCCATTGCTCTGCGGCCTCTCGCTCGTAACTCCTGCCGGCTACAGCTTTGTTCCTCCTTCCTCCGCCCCCTTCTGGTCAGGTACAGGTATCTGCCTCTCCTCGCGCTGCAGGCCGCCGCACGCATCATCGCATGAACCTCCGCTCTCTCATCGAGCCTCCCACCTCTCACGTCCTCGTTTGTGGACGTTATTTCACCGCTGCATGCTCTGTTTTCTCGTGTCGCGTGTGTGCGTGTGTGTGTTTTTGCACGTGAACGCCAGGAACGGTGATAGATGAGGTTTCTGGGCTCTGCGCTCGCAGGTCTGCCCGTCAAAGGGAAGATGGAAGTGTCCAAACACGCAGAGCTCCTCAGTGGTAGATATTCAGTCCCCGCGGCCCGGCTGTAGAGCTCTGACATTCCATTTCCACCTGTCAGCTCGGTCCAGACCGACCCGGCAGCTGGTCGGGGTGTAGTCAGAACTAGCTCCACCCGCCTCTCGCCGGACTGAGACGCCTAAACTGTCAATCTGGACCATTTCAGAAACTCACAAATATAAAATATGTTTTTCTCTAGAAGTTAAAGGAACTGAGTTAGTGTGGACTTTATTTCCTCTAAAACCACATCCGTTATCTCAGGGGTTCCCAACCCTGGTCCCTGAGGAACACCATCCTGCATGTTTCAGCTGTTTCCTGCTCCAACACATTCATTTATTTAATTACTTCCTCAGCAGACGCCTGTTAATCACCCAAAATCAAATCAGATGCGTCAAAGCAGAGAACCAATTAAAACATGCAGGACGGTGTTCCTCAAGGACCACGGTTGGGAACCACTTTGCTGTTTGACATCGAATGGAGAGGTTGTGTAAATATCTTACCTGTTGTAGACAGGATGATGTGTTGGAGTTTAATTCTGACCAGACTGATGGAGTAATGGCTGTTTTTAACTAAAGAGCCGTGCAGTGTTGAAGTTTAAGCGTCAAGCTCATATAAGCAAGATTCCTTGTTTAGTACGGAGCCCAACTAGCAGCAACGGGCTAGCTGTAGCACTTCCTGTCCAGCGTGGGGCACTTCCTGCAAGAATCTCATATTTCTGCTGGAACAACAAAAGAACATGAAACTGACGATGATGTTTAACATTTGAAAGTCACTTGGCTCTTGGCCCCGCTCGGACCAGCCTTGAGGTGGTCTCTACGTGGTCTGATGTGGTTCAGAGTCTCCAAATGTGGAACTCCCTTTCTTCTTGGGAGCTGCAGAAGCTCTCAGTCCGACAGTTTCAGCTCAACCAACAATTTTTTTTATAGCAGAAAACAGCCGAGGGTACAGTCCTGAATGTCCAGGCCTAAAAACATCAGTGGGTACGATGTGAGTGGAGGCGGCCTAGAATACAAAAACAAGTCATGATTGTCTCAAATGACTTGCGCACCAGTCACCACATCACAAATACTCCGAATTCAGCCGAACTGACAAATAAATTTCGCAATTTCTCAAAATTATGAGTCGCAGCTGGTTCCATTAGCTCATTGGTCTGGTCCAAATTATCCCTGAGGTCATCCACAAAGCTGTCTACCACAGGTAAGATAGTAATTGTTCATAACCGCTCCACAAACCCCTCATCAATAGATTAGAAGTATCCGTACTTTCATTTATTGGCCATTTAAAAAAGAGAACGCTTTGGAAACGTCCTACTTCCTGTCCAGACACCACAGATCAGTGTGTTTTCGTCAGCGTGTGGGATCTTTAGAAACAAAAGTTTGTGGTTTCTTCCCGTTTGTTTCTACAGTGTTCGCCCCCAAAGTGATCGGCGTGGCCATCGCTCGGTACGACTTCAGCTCCCGGGACACTCGGGAGCTGTCGCTGCAGGAGGGCGACGTGGTGAAGATCTACACCAAGTCTGGAGCCAACGGCTGGTGGAGGGGCGAAGTCAACGGCAGGGTAAGTGAGCGCACCGGCCGCAGAGCCGCCGTGTGTGGATCTTCTCCGGCTGATGACCCGTCTGTTTCCCGTCAGATGGGCTGGTTTCCATCCACGTACGTGGAGGAGGGTGAGGAGTGAAGCGTCCGCCCTGAGCAGAAGAAGAGTGGAACGAAGCCTCTGCCACGGCGAGCGTCTGAACGACTCCTGGCGTTTACCGCTCCCCCGCGGCGCCCCGGTGCCTCCGACGGCCTTCGGTAAAGGAAAGGGCTACAGCTGGCTGCAGATGCTAACGGCTCTGCTGGACTCTGAGCGAGCGTCTGTCAGCCGGGGAACGCCCCCCCCCCTCCCCATCCATCCCTCACCTCCTCACCCGCCAAGTCTGGCGTCACCAAAAACTGTCACGAATGAGTCCTGGATGGCTGCTCGTCCACTCGTCCGTTCATCCCTCGCTCCTCTCCATGAGGGACTAATCCAGACTTCTTCAGCCGCGCCTCGCTCCGACCTTCCTGTTTGTTCCATCGATGCAGGTTCTCGTTGTCGACCCAGTTTCTCTCACACGTTCCTCCCCTTCACACTCTGCTGGTGTTGGCAGCATGGCCGCGCCCATTGATCCCTTCTTCCTGTCGCCTCCATGTTTCCTCTGCGACGCGGCCTCGTGATTTTCCTCGTCCCTGCTGGAAGCGATCCTCTGATCTTCCCTGAGGCTTTAGGCTTTTAAAGCGCCGAGCGCAGTCCTCGTTTAGACGTCTCACCGTGAAACAAACACGACGATGACGGCTGAATTGGACGTTTGCTGCTTCTTTTTGCCTCAAACATCAAAGTGATTGGATGGATGGATTTATTCCAGGTAGCGTTCAGATCTTCTGAAGTTGGGTTCTGTTGGATTATGAACAGCTCACCACCTGCAGTAAGAGTTTCGGCACAGGGCTGATTGTTCGTGGTTGGGCTGATGGTCATGAACCAGTTTGAACAATAGTTTGTACAAAGTGTAACGCGGTCACCTGACCTGCATGTGAGCTTTAAGGTGTTTGCTTGTGGTGCTCCTCACCATCACAGGTCCACCTTCTTCCTTCTATAATGCTACTGCTCGATTCTGTCCAGGTATACGTACCGTATCTTTCACCCTATAAGTCGCAGTTTTTTGCACAGTTCACATGCCCTGCTCTTCTTTTTGTTTTTTCTCCATATTTTTAAACCAAATTTTCATTTTTCATTCATTCTGACTGAAAATATTGAACACTTCCATTTTCAGCTGCTACATGGCAGTCGAGTATGGAATGCCGTTGTAACATGCAATAGGTAAAAGTGGCTATTAATGATTCAATCGGCTTGCCATACTAAGCCACCTTCGTCCAGCTCGCCTGGAGCAACCGTCAAATCAACTTCATATCGCTGCGCCGCCCCGGTGAAATGAAAGTTCAACTGAGACACCTTTACTATAAAGTCGAACAAACAAATAATTGTTTTTAATTGTTAATCTTGTTAAATTCTTATTAAAGTTCTCCCGTGAACGTTCCCGCGGCCGCCATTCGGCAGCCAATCGATTCTGGCACAACATGGGCCCAAATTTCCGGGTTGTCAGCGGTGACGCGTAATAGATGCGACGTATTTACGTCATTTCCCACTTTATGAGACGTATTTGGACTGATGCGACTTATAGAGCGGTGCGATATTTACGATGGAAAATACGGTAGTGGGAGTTTTGCCCCTCGTCACCAAACCTTTGCTCAGAAAGTCAGATATAATTTGACTAAACAGTATGTACCTGAAAGTACCTGAAAGTACCTGAAAGTACCTGAAAGTACGTATCTGTGTAGTACTTTTGTCCCCCATCGCAGAGCGAAGAGGGGGAGTTGGAAATGCCGTCCATCCGTGTTGTGAGCACGATAACCTGAAAAAATAATGTGAGGTGCCGACTTCCGTTTAGGTGCAAGTGGGGAGTGGTGGTGCAGAGGTTAGGGAAGGTCGCTGGTTCAACCCCCCGGACCATCAACATTTGCCCCACTATGGGTCCATCACAAGGCCCTCCACCATCTGCTCCCCCTGCGCCCCAGATGGCAGATCTCTGCTCCACTCAGAGCTGTGGTAGCTCGGTTGTGTCAGGAAGGACATCCGGCGTAAAAACAGTCGCCAAGTCTTCGTGCGAGTTAGTTCTCTGTGGCGACCACTGAAGAAGGGAGCAGCCGAAAGAAGAAACAAAAAAGCTGCATTTAGCTGTAAGAAAGGTTCCTTATGAAAATTGTGTTGGCACGTCAAAATCCAAGATGGCCACCACCATATATGCAGCTGTAGCTTTCCCTGCAGGAATATCGAAGAATTTCTGTTGGAATAACCACATGATGCGAAACTGACACCATTTAAAGATTTATTTAGAAATAAACTCTCCAAACTGTTGTTCAAAGAGCTATCTGCAACAGGTAAGATGTTGATTATTCATAAGTTTAGATCAGAAGCCCACTTCAGAAGATCTAAATTAAAACAGTGAATGTTTTTTTAATTCCAACTCCTCCTTCATCCAGAAGCGACAAGATGAGGCTAAAAGCTCCTAAAGTAGCTGGCCCCGGCGGCCATGTTTGTTTATCGCTTCACAAACAGAGACTTCATTCCGCGGTTGAACAAATTTCTCTTCGGTACATATTAGGGGTTTTATTCAAGAGATTCAGAATTTGGGCAGAAAAACAGCAAACAGTCTGCGGGTCGCAGCCTGCTGTCGAAGCGATCCAGGACTTTTAGTTTTCAGATACTTCTGTTGTTCCCACCTGGCCTCACGCATCTTTACACAATGTTGGACCTTTTGTTTAATCTGAATCGTAAGAGACGTGGAAATGTGACGTGGAGGTTTCCGAGCTCGTGGTGAACCAAAACTTCCCTGAGGCCGTCGTCGTTTAACGTTTCCCTCCCTTGCCTCCACTGTGTCGATGCCAGCGAGGCTCCGTGAGCGTTTCATGTGAAGAGCTGCGTTAATGGAGCCGTTATGTTCGAGCCTGCCAGAGCTGTGCCCCCCCCCACACACACACACACACACACACACCCCTTTAAGGAGCTGGTTTAAGAATCCCATTAACGTCCGTCCTGACATCTCTGAGCTCCAGTTCCATCAGTCACCACTAGGTGGCAGCATCCTAAACGGAGCTCCTCGTCCTGGAGATGACATCATCTGCTCAGGAGGTGGAGAGACTGGAGGAGGCAGCTCCAGACCTGTTGCTGCGACGGCCACGGATGCAAACTAAAACCAGAGAGAGCTGGAGGATGTCTGAGTATAGTCCCTGCATCTCAAGAACGTTCAGACTTGTTCAGGAAAAGCCTAAAAAGAGGCACAGATGTGACTCAGGCTTCTTTATCCACTCCTCCTCCTCCTGCCAGATGAGCTCTGACAGCGGGGGTCGTCTCCAGCTGCAGGCCGTCGGGGGATCGGAGGAGAGCTCAGGGCTATCTGTGATCTAATCATTACACCATCCTCTCACCTCGGCTCCCGTCTCCCTCCGCCGCTGTCACTTCCCCTCTTTTCACTGCCGTCTATCTCTTGTGCAATCTTCATCCTCTCCTCGCCGTCGCCGGGCTGTCACCTCCTCTGGAGACCTCAAGATTCAAGACTGAGGAGTAAAGGGTGCACCCATCTCTGAACAAAGTAAGACATCTTTTAAAAATGTTGAACAGGACTCAGGACTCAACGAAATTTCATTTCGGACAGAACTTTACGTTTCCTTGTTGAAGTGAAGCCAAAGACGTGAGCTGCAACTTTTGTACTCATGACCCCGGTACCCGACCGCCGAGGCCGGACCCCGAAACCGTGCAATCCTGACTGTAGCAGAACCTGTAACGATGCTGTATCATACTGTAAATACTGTACATAAAGCAAAATAAAGCTTTACGCTGCTTCTTCTAATGGGCTTCGATTTCTTCTTCATGGTGGATTACAAAGAGTGGTCCAGAGTTGGATTATTTTCTGCAGGGTTTGTTTTATCGTGCAAGAACACGTGATGGGATAATAAAAATAAAGTAGACTGGGGTTATTAAGAAAAAACAGCACAGCAGAGACTAAAATTATCAAAAAGATAAAGATAGTTAAAAATATTTAAACACTAGCTAGAAGCTAAAAGTATTCAAGCACTAGTTAAAATTAGGGATGCACGATATTATCGACACGGTATCGGTATCGTCCGATATCAACGATAAAGTTAAATATCGGACAATCCATCAAAATTCACCGATACACAGTAAAAAGCTTCTGTTTTAAGTTCATTTTTAATTTAAGAAACTAAGAATATCTATTAATGAACTACTACTGTTGCGCTTTTCACTTGTCGCTTGTGAACAGGTTGAGTTTTGGGAAAGTTTACAAATTGGCGCTGTTCGAGTGTTGTCATTGTGTTAGAGAGAGTAAATGTCACGAATAAATTTGACATTAAACATAATCCAAGTTGAAGTGTTACATCATTTCCATTCCTCTTTTTGACTTTTGTATTTGGTAGCAGACCAGACTGACAAAAAACACGCAGAATAATGTATTTTAATTCCACAGCAGAGAAGACTATGTAGTCTCTGTAAGTAGGTCTAGGAAAAAAAAAAAAAAATGGTATCGACCAAATAAGTTTTAACATATCGCATATCAGATATTGGCCAAAAATCCAATATCGTGCATCTCTACTAAAAATATTTAGCTTCAACTTTCTTTATTGTCATACTCATCACATGTGGTGGAACGAAACTGTGAACTCAAAGTCCCAGTTATACACAAAAATAGCAAAAATATAAAGTATAAAAAAGAAACGGTACACAAGGATCTAAGATATATGCTAAACAATAATAATTTATATAATATAATAGGTCTTGTAAATGATTCCCCGAGGCTCAATGGGATTAAGCTGCATAAATAAAGACTGAATGAATGAATTTAATGTAATACGGTGAATTAAACAGCAGCTTGAACATGAGTCTAACAGCCTCAGGGTAGAAGCTGTTCCTCAGTCTTGTGGTTCTACACTTAATGCTCCTCAACCTCCTTCCTGAGGGGAGCGGGGCAAAAAATGTGTGCTGGGTGAGTGGGGTCCTTCGTGATGCAGGAGGCTCTGGAGGTGTAGATATCTGTGATGGTGGGGAGGCTGACTCCAACATCTTCTGTGCAGCCTTCACCACTCTCTGCAAAGCTTTTCTTTCTGCAGCTGTGCAGCCTCCACGCCACACGTGGATGCTGGAGCACAGGATGCTCTCCACTGCACACCTGTAGAAGGAGGTGAGGACTGAGCTTCCCAGACCAGCTCGTCTC